AAAAATGACTTTTTTTGAGGCTAAACCACCAACAATCTGGGGGAAAAATTATTTTCCATTAGATATAATGCTTGTAGCAAATCAAGGTAAGCAAAATAAGCAAAGTGGGCCAGGCACAGTGGCTCACACCTGTAATCCCAGCACTTTGGGAGCCCGAGGTGGGTGGATCATCTAAGGTCAGGAGTTTGAGACCAGCCTGACCAACATTGTGAAACTCTGTCTCTACTAAAAATACAAGAATTAGCTGGGTATGGTATGGACACCTGTAATCCCAGCTATTTGGGATGCTAAGACAGGAGAATCACTTGAACCCAGGAGGCGCAGGTTGCAGTGAGCCAAGATCATGCCACTGCACTCCAGCCTGGGTGACAGAGTGAGGCTGTCTCAAAAAACAAACAAACAAAAAAAGCAGCAAAATAAAAGTCATCTTTAATTCTGTAACCACAAGATGAAATGCGAACATTTTACTATATATCAGTTGTCTAGGGTTTGAAATTTTTTCATCATATTGCTTTGTAATGTGCTTTTATTTATTTTGAGACAGGGTCTTGCTCTATCACCCAGTGTAATGTGCTTTAAAAATTATTTAAAAGTTTAATCTATATACAGTACATGAATACATTCAATCTGTGGATTACGAACATTTTTTTCAAGTTAAAATATATCTATCTACATTACTGCTAGTGAAAGTGTGGCTTACAAATGGTGAATCTGTATCCTGTGTTACTAGTGTGTAATGACATAGTATAGAAATTGTGAGTGTTTAGAAACTATTCTAGTAATTGGACATTATCATTTTTTATTTGTAAAATTCGGTAATGAAAGTTACAGCCTGGGCACGGTAGCTTATCCCTGTCATCCCAGCACTTTAGGAGGCCAAGGCAGGTGGAGTGCATGCCCAAGAGTTCGAGGCCAGCCTGGGCAACATGGTGAAACCCTGTTTCTACAAAAAGAATGACAATTAACCATGCATGGTGGTACGTGCCTGTAGTCCCGGCTACTCAGGAGGCCGGGGTGGGAGGATCATCAGAACCTGGGGAGGTCAGGTCTGCAGTGAGCCATGATTGAACCATTGCACTCCAGCCTGGGTGAAAGGGTGGGACCCTATCTCAATAAAAAGAAAAGAAAATTATGGGTTTATGTATTTTTTATTTCACTTTGACAATAATTTATTTTTCTTGGATTTGTATACAAGTTGTAGTCCTTGGTGGATTGGAATTTTAAGAAAAATACTCATCCTTTACCACAGATAGTTTGAGATAAACTATATAATTCTTGTTTCTTCTTTTTGGAGACAGAGTCTTGTTCTGTCGTCTAGGCAGGAATGCAACGGCATGATCTCAGCTCACTGTAACCCCCGCCCCCTAGATTCAAGTGATTCTCGTAGATTCTCCTAGATTCAAGCCTCAGCCTCGCAGTAGCCTCACGTGTCACCACGTCCAGCTAATTTTTTTGGTTTTATTAGTAGAGATGGGGTCTCGCCATGTTGGCCAGGCTGATCTTGAGCTCCTGGACTCAAATGATTTGCCTGCCTAGGCCTCCCAAAGTGCTGGTTATAGGCATGAGCCACTGTGCCCAGCTAAACTATATAATTTTTTTTTTTGAGACGGAGTTTCGCTCTTGTTACCCAGGCTGGAGTGCAATGGCACGATCTCGGCTCACCACAACCTAGGCCTCCTGGGTTCAGGCAATTCTCCTGCCTCAGACTCCCGAGTAGCTGGGATTACAGGCGTGAGCCACTGCGCCCGGCTAAATTATATAATTTTTAATAGCTACAAATAATCCTATTATAACATGGGTGGGCTGTAATTTATTTCTCTCTTTGCTGAAAGTTTGAGTTTTTTTCATTTCTTTTCTTTTCTTTTTTTGTGACAGGGTCTCACTTTGTCACCCAGGCCAGAGAGGAGTGTGATGATCATAGTTCACCGCAGACTTGAACTCCGGGACTCGAGCAATCCTCCTCCTTTAGCCTCTAGAGTAGGTGGGACCACAGGTGCATGTCACCACGCCTGGCCAGTTTTTTATTTTTGTGGAGATGGTGTCTCACTCTGTGGCCCAGGCTGTGTTTCCTCTTTTTAGAGGCACAGTGTCACTCTGTGGCCCAGGCTGGAGTGCACTGGCATGATCATAGCTCACTGCAGCCTTGAACTCCTGAGTTCAGGTGATTTTACCATGTAGGTGAGACAGGTATGAGCCATCACGCCCAGCAGAAGTTTGGGTTTCCAGTGAATTATCTTTGCACATTTGTGTTAGTTACCCAGACACGTTTGGGGAAGAATGTACAAGCCCTGAAGTTTCCTGTCTGTATGTTGTTCAGTCCAGGTTTTAGCCGTGCCACAGAGCTCCGGCAGTCATGGGCCAACCATAGCATCAGTTCATAGCATCAATCATCACCCAACAGCTGGGCAGCCCCAGGGAGGCCAGGTGGTCCAGAGCCACGCTCCTCCAGCCCCACCAGTTTCATTAGTGTCAGGGCAGCAGCAGTTTCAGAGGCTGAAGGTGCTATTCCGCTCCTTTTCTTGGGTCAAAAAGTTTATCTTTAGCAGGAAATATTGGCTGCAGCTTGTCGGTCACGTGGTACAACTTTTACTCTCAGATACTAGGTATCGAACCACAAGTTTTACTTTGTTTTGTGAAATTTGCTTATGTTTGCTATCTTGGCACCAGTGCCTGATCCAGAGAAGAATTTACTCAAATGTTTGTGGACTGTATGAATGCATGCCACTCAAATGTTACCAGGACTGAGGGGCCCTTTCATACAAAATAAGCCTTAAAATCCATTTCTTGGCTGCTTCCTTTTGAACTCTCTATTCAGCACACATATGATTGGCTACA